CTCGCCGCACTGGCCCGGGCCGGGGCAGCCGGCCATGGGGGGCCCGGGCCTGCAGGAGGCCAGAGCAGGAACTCGGCGGGAAATGACTGGCATGAGGGCACGGCCGGGCTCGGGGCGCCCGTGCTGGCGCCCTAGACAGTGACTCTGGGCCATGCACTGGACCCACAGAGCTGGTAAGCACCTGTGCGACTGGGTTCAGGAGATCTAGGGGGCCTGGCCAGGAAGAGGCTGCAGGAGAGTGGAGGGCGAGTGGGGCACCCGCAGAATCCGGTCTAACCGGGTGGCAGAGGCTGTATAGAGAAGTGAAGTCGAGCAGTGCCTCCTGGGGGCTCATCTGCTGGGCTGGGGAGATTGGGCTGCAAGCGCCCCTGGAGAGCCGGTAGAGTCGGTAATGTCATCCAGGGTCAGAATCAGCCACTCGGAGGCCTTGGCGTCTGATCTCCCATAGCCTGTGCCTCAGTGGCCCCTGACTGCTCATCACCCGGTGAGCACCTCCCTGCCAGCCCCTGCTGGATGGGAGCTGGTCTGACCTGGCACCCCAGGCTGCTCTGGGGTGGGGAAGAGCTGTCTATGCTGCCCCTCTCCTTGGCCCTTTCTGGGTGTACCTGGCCAGAAAGCATGGAAGAGATCCTGGGAAGGTAACAGTATCTGCTTAGCTCACAGACTCACATCCCCCTTAGGGCTCTGCCTGGCTAGAGCTCAGCTTGTCCTTTCATTGGGAATACAGGATGGGGGATAGGATTTCTTCTCCAGTTTTTCCCAGACTGCAAGGTGGAATTTGCTGCCCTGAGTGAGTGGTCAGTGCACTCACCCAGGCCCCAGTATCCATGGCCTGCATGTCTAGGTCAGGAGGCCAGCATCAAAGTGGAGACCTGGGGGCCAATTGGGCTCTTGAATCCCATTAGCCAGGACCTTCCTCAGGCCTGGAGCTGATTGAATGTAATTAGCAACTAATTGCATGTCTGTGAGCCCCTCTACATGAGAACCGCACCAAGGTCAAGTTTAAACAGCAGATAGTGATTCAATCTTTTCTTCAAGACACCATATTTCCTGTGTGGAGGGTTTGAAGAAGAGCTGTTCTTCATTCATTTATTCATTCTTTCACCAGATATTTACTGAGGGTCAAATACCAATCAGGCATGTAGACACAGGGAATGCAACTGTTCTCTTCCATGCTAGCTGGAGAGAGGAAATAAGCAAATAAGTGGGTAAATCACATTATTTCAGAGGCTGATAGTGCTGTAAAACAAACAACCGGAACAGGCTGATGCTGATATTTGAGAAATTGGCTCTTTGCTAGAAATTTGAGCAAGCAGACTTTCTAAATTGGGGTGGGGGAAATGGCATCATTTCCAGCCTTTACAACTCTGGGGGGATAGGATAGGCTATCCTCAGGGATCAGGAGCAGGGCTTAGGGTCAGTGAGCAGTGGTGAGTGGTGAGGCAGCCTCTCTCTAGTGAGTATATTCCTCACTGGGAGTCCTGAACCTAAGGCAGAAACGTAAGCACCCCCAGAAAGCAATTATTGTTGACATGCTTGCTCATTTACTCATTCATTCAACAAATACTTACTGAAGGCCCGTATGTTCCAGAACCTAGTCTAGGTGTTAAGGATATGCTAGTGATCACAGGACTTATTTTCTGGTGGGAGAAATGGATGATAAACAATCCTAACAGCTTGTCATGGCCATTAAATTCCTTGAAGGAAAGTAAAACAGGTTAAAAGTTTGGAAAGTGCTAGATTCAGTGGCATGGTCAGGCATGCCAGCAAGATGGAATTTGAGTGGAGATCTGAATGTAGATGAGATCGTCCTGTGACGATCAGAGGGATGAACATTCCAGGCAGAAGCAACAGGAAGTGCAAAGATCCTGAGGCATGAAGGTGGCATGAGCTTGTCTAGTATACGAGGCATTCTGGGCCTGGGGCAACAGAAAGGATGTGTGACTTTGGGGGTGAGTAAGTGATCTCAGATGCTCTGGTTGGAAGAGGCAGGGGTGGAATTCATTTGCACACCAGAAGCTTCCAGGGAAGCAGACAGTACTCCCAGCTGTCGTGGAGGAAGATTTACAAGTTCCCGAGCGGGCTCTGGGACCAGCGAGGTGGTTCATACCCAGCAGGGGAATGGGTGAGCACCAAAGATAGTGTCTTGGCTGGAGGGACCCATACACAGAGAGCTAAAGTAGGAGGCAGACTGTCAGTTTTTCTAATCAGTTAAGTCTCTGGAAGCTGCAGATGGGGAGAAAAAATGTTACCTGCTGGGGAAATTCTCATAATGTTTCATTCTTAAGTAATTTAGGTGTTCTCATTAGTCAGCTTAACGGAAAATCAGGAGTGTGTACACTAATTGGCATGCAGCGGGCATGTTCTAGCTGCCAGGCCCTCCTTCGAGCATGGTACTTGCAGACACTATCCTCACACCGTCTCTTCCATTTCACAGATGAGAAATAAGAAAGAACAAGAGAATAAGAATAAGCAAGTTGCCCACCTTTACACAGCTGGTAAGTAGAGAATCAGGATTTACAATCGAGTGGTGTAGTTCCGAGCTGCGTGCTCTGAGCGAGAGAGGCTTTGACTGAAGTGTGCTTGTCCTCAGTGGAGGAGGCACCCCAGTGTCTAACAGCAGAGTGGTTAGGAGACACTCGGGGTTCTGAGCACTTTGCATTTTTTTTTTTTTTTTGCATTTCTTATTAAAGTATTTGCATAGGTTATAAGTCCTTTAAAACTTTTTTTTTTTTTTGGTAGAAAAACTGGGGAGTAGGCCAGAGGATTCACCAGAGATAGAGTGGGGAGCAGAACTGGCAGATCTACGTAAAGACACTGCTGAGGGGAGCAGCAGGAGACACAGGAGAAGTCTGCTGCGCCATGTGGGTTTGCTTCCTGGCCGAGGATAGAACTCAGGCTATCGGGGTAATAGCAGTGACAGTGCTGAGGTATAACTCCTAGGCCACCAGGGAGGCCCTAAAACAGACTTTTTAAGGGGATAATTTGTATGCATTAAAAATATTTTCATAAATGTTAGTTCAAACAGCCTTGAGGTTCACATGAAGACTCTCCCTGTTTCCTGCCCTCTGATCCCTGATTCTTTTCTTTAGAGGCAGTTCCTTAAGAACACTTCCAGAGAAATTCTATTTATAAATGAGCATAAACGCATGCATACCTTCCCTGTCTTTTTCTACAAGTAGTAATAATACTTTCTTAATATGCTTGTTTTTCTGATTCAGGGCATATGATGTACTTTTATCCTTTCAAGATAAATGTATGATACCTCAGGAGTGTGGCACTGTATTTATCTAGCCTGTCTGGGCTTGTGGATTGTTTTCCTCATCTCTGTTTTCTTGATATGACAGTCAGTAATGTGGTAAGCATACTTGTACCTGCGGATTTTGCTCACTTCTGTGACCATCTCACAGGGGTGATTCCGAAAGGTGGAATGACTGTGTTGAAAGTCATGTGGATTTTCAATTTTGATGCTTTCCAAAAACATAGCATGACTTAGGACTTTTGGCTTAGGACTTTTGTGATTGCTTGTTTCCTCTCTGCTTCATCAGTGTGGTGTTTTAGCAACTTTTTGCCCTTGCCAGTTTGACATATTTTTTAAAATGGCATTGCATTGTGGTTTCCATGGGTGTTTCTTTATAGTGAATGGTATTTTGAGTGTTTTAAGCTCTTGGTCTTTCTGTGGACTCTTCAAGTCCTTGGCCTCTGATTTGAGCTGTATTTTCATCTTTTTGTTTGACTTCCCTCCATCCCTCATCTCTAGTCCACCGACTGCCCCTTCCCTTCCCACACCCCGTGAGCACCAGCCACTCTGGTACATATTATGCTTCTCCTGGGACCTAGATGTACTTTAGAGAAATACATGATTTTGTTTTATATTATCATACATTTTTAAATCACATACATTATTCTGTGCTAGAAGTCATTTTAAATTTAAATTTAAATTGCATTTTAAATTTGATATGTATTTTTAAAAAAAACTCAAACTGACCACTCTGCAGACACTTGATTACTACACTGTATTCCATAGTTGGAATTGTGAAATTATCCAGTTGATTCTTTTTTTTTTTTTTTTTACCATTTATTTATTAATGCATACAGAGCTGGGGTAAAGGCCAGAGGTGTGGGGGTTAAGAGGATTCACCAGAGACAGAGCGGGGAGCAGAACAGGCAGATGTGCTGAAGTACACTGCTGAGGGAAGCAGCAGGCAAGACAAGAGGTCTGCTGTGCCATATGGGTCACCTCCCGGGCTGGGGATCAAGCTTGTGCTGCAGTGGCCGCGATAGCTTCATAGTGCTGCGCTTTAACTTGTAGCCACCTGGGAGGGCCCTCCAGTTAATTCTTCTCAACTGGTCTAGAAAGATTTGGAGATGTGGATACAGGGTGAGCCTTTGAGGATGAGAGGAATTAGATGGAAAGGAGAATGGAGAAGGAAGCAGAGCAGAATGGAGAACACAGCATGAGGTCACACCAGCCTGTGACAGTGTCAGCATATTCAGGGGCACCCCCATACTGGTTGGCTGCAGTTCGCATAGGAGGGTGAGGCCCTAGGAGAGGCTGGGGTACCCTGAAGGCAAGGGTTGAGAGGCACTGGGGTCTGACTGGGTCAGTAGAGACGTCCAGGGCAAGAGTGGTCTCTGGGGAGAGAAGTGGGGTGGACTGATGTGAACCTCAGCCACAGGAGGCCCCGTGACAGCTGCTGGTGTGAAGGTGGAACAGCAGGGCCTCAGGCATCCAACTTAGGAGGGTGGAGACTGGTGTCAGGCCTGTTAACTAGAGAAGTTGAGTGGCTCTGACGTCATAGACAGGGCCCCCTGGGAGGACACTCATGGGCACATGGACAGGCACCAGCTCTGAAGTCCTGCTCATCCCTGCTAGAGGACTTCTGCAGGTGACCGGGACTCTGGCAGCAGAAGGGCCTGGGAACTTTTAGCAGAAGGGTGGAAAATGAAGATGTGTGAGATGTGGGTGAGGTCACCCCAGGAAAGGGAGCAGTCTAGAGAGATCCTGCTGGAACAGAACCTGGGCCAGGTGTGCAGGGCGAAGTGGATGGACAGGCCGAGCCTGCCAAGGAGACATGTGTGCACTTTTGAACTCTGCTTTTTGCTGGCGCTGCCCTTTGCTGACTGACTGACCTCAGGAAAGCATCCGCTCGGCTTGGGAACTTGGGCGGCCATTATACACAAGGAGGTGAAAGGGGGGTCCTGCTTTCCTGGAGTCTCTCATTGCTGTGTCGCACTGAAGAAGTGACCTCAGGAAATGAAGATGTGCGGTCTCTCTTCCTGGAGAGGTGCTCCGAGGCCTTCATGCTCTTCCTGCTGAGAGCTGCTAAGCCAGGCTGCCCCCTCCGTCCGTCCCTGAGGGTGACTGTTGATAGAGCCTGGGTTGGCTTTTGCTGGCACAGAGAAAGCATCTGAGGCCCAGGGCTTTGCTGCAGTGGGCAGGGTAAAATGTGGGAGCCCCTGGGGAACACTGACCCCTCTGGTGGCGAGCTTTTCTTCCTCCTTTGTCTCCTCAAAATATACCTGTTTTCTGTTTTATATAACACGAGAGCCTTGCTTCCTGCTCTTGTAAACCTTGAACAAGGGAGACTCTCACTTCTGTTTCCCAAGGAATAAATGCTTGAAAGATCAGACTCAGCTGTACCATGTAGCCATTTACCTATCTTTGTCATGACTTCTGGCGTGAGTTTTATTGGTATTATTGTATTTACTGTTTTTCCTTGAGCACACACATTTGAGAATGCAATGTAAAATAGGCATTTTCTGCTTTAGCATGTGGGCCTAGCAATACCACCTCTGAAATCACAGGTTTGCTGCACCAGTTGTTTTAAATGCACATTTAAACAAATGTTTATTAAAACTTTTCATTAAGTGAACCACATAGTTAGGCAAACTCAGCCTTAGATTCATGGATTTGGGAGGAAGTCATCTTACCTGCATAGGGGAGGGAGGCATCTTTTTCTCTGCCCGCTTAGATTTAGTGACTGGGAAGGGTACATTAAACTGACGAAAGGCAGAAGAACAGTAGAAAAAAGGTTCATAGGTATGTTCACGGGGCAAAACAAATGAGAGAAAATAAAGATTGTGGTAATGTTTATGTAGAGAGGTAGGAGGGGTCTTTTGATCCCCCTAGAGAAGGGACTTGGGCTAGGTTTTACTGAGTTCTTCCTTCTAGGCCCACAACTGCCCTGCAGAGGGGACTTGTGACCATCTTACTTCTGAGAAGTTGCTACTTTTAGTCAGATAAAGGAAACTCTGGAAGGCGTTTATTTTGCCTCTGTTCAATCTCAAATGCCTACCTTAAAGTAATGTTCCTGTCAACTGCGGGGCTCTGATGGGTGCCCACACCCACTTCAGAGAACTCATGAGACAGCCACACCACGTGAGAAGTGATGACAGGAAAAGGCTGTGTCTGTTAGCTCCCAGATGCTCTCCTGCCCCACACACTGGTTCTCAGCCCCCCCCCCCCAATGGACAGAAGGCTAACAAAGACAGCCTTTACAGTGAGCAGAGAAATTCAATCACTATTTCATGAAATAAATTTTCTCATACCCTTATTACTTCTGATGAAGAACAAGCACATTTATTTAAAAAAAATTAGGTGCATAGCAAAAAGGCACAAAGAACTTAAACTCACGCGTATAGAAAACACATAGAAATTGCCACCATCAACCTGTACTTTGGTCTTTATTACCTAAATATACCAATTTTTAAGAAGTTGAGATCATACTGAATAGATAATCATTTTCCTTAATAATACACTGTGAGCATCTTCTTACTTCATTAAATGCTCTTTAAAACAAGACAGAGAGTGCGGAGCCTCACCATGCGGCTGTGTGAGCTTCAGTCTGGCTAGAAGGCTGTGTTATAACCTGTTTATCCAGTCCCGTCGTGGATATTGAGTTGTGATCACTTGCCATTATAACTGCATGCTCATGTGTCTTAGCAGATGTTTTGTGGGTCGCTGGGTGCCAGGACACTCCGGTGCAGGTGAATAACTGTAGAGCCCTCCCCACTGCTTGCTTGGGAAGGGCACCTCACTGATGCTTAGCTCGCTGAGGCTGCAGGGAGCATGTTAGAAGGGCTTGAGGGGGCAGAAGAGGGGAGTCTAGGAAGCCAGACACTGGGGCCAGACGGAGGGAGGTGTGAGACCGAAGCACTCCGGGGCGTGACCTGGGCGGCTCCTCCCCGGACATGTGTCCACAGCTGTGCAGGGCCAGCCTCTTCAGGTCCTGTGCCGGCCATGGAATTGGGCAACAGACAGAAGCGTGTCATTCATTTTCGCAATCACTTCCTTCCCTCTCCAGGGAGCCGGGGGTGGCGCTGCGGCACCCACACGTGCTGTCCTGTCTGTGATGTTCCTGCTGGATTGTGGGCCTTCTCCCCGTTGCCTTAGGCTCAGCAGCTTCTCCCGCCCCTTACAGGGCCACAGGCATTGGGGGAGGCTGCCTCTGCCCCCCATCGTGGACTCAGGCACTGGCAGTCCTCCCTCCTGCTCTGCGCCCCAGGGGGCTCCGCGGAACCAAGGCCAGCGTCAGCATGGTCAGCAGCAGGGCAGCAAACTTACCTGCCAGAGGAATTTAGGGAGGCCTTGTCCTCCTGGCCGTACTCCCTGGGGACCCAGACGGTGGCTGTGGAGAGCGGGAGAAGGGCACATGACTGCCTTATGCCGGGGCTTCCTTAAAGGACAAAACTTTTACAAAGACAAATTCAGGGCCACAGGAGCCTCTGAGGCGCTCCTGGCCCTCACCCGCATCCTGCCCAGTGACTGGTGTCTCTGGAAGTGAGCTCCATTCTCTCGGGATCTTTGAAAGCTCTGAGCGGGGAACATGCATTTGGCTTCATTGTCTTTGGCACCGCCCCGTTGGGAAGAAGGCCTGCTCCTTCGCACCTGCAGTGTGTGATGGCTAGGGGGCCAGCAGAAAGCCTGTCTGTAGGCTCTAGGCAGTCCCGCGTTCAAATCCAGCTTTTCCATTTACTGCCTGTGTAAGCCTGAACTACCGCTCTGACTCTTGGTCCCCTCATCCACTCCTTAGCATGGGGACAGTCACACCAGAGCGTCGGGATGGCAGATCCTGCTTGTAGTGGGCCCGGTGGACTTGGGCGATCTCTGTGTCTGTAAAGGGTCATTATAGCTGCCGCGGTCCCTTCTCTGCTGCCTGCCGCCTTTCATATCTCCACCTCTCAGGTGGATTTCATGTGCTGAAATCCCCTGGGGTCCTCTCCTGGAAGATGGGCTCCACTCCCCCTCCTGTGCTTGACTCTTGAGAAGCCACCTCCCCACCTGTGCTGAGCAGCTTCCTCTGCGGCAAACAGGAAGCCTTTCACCTTGAGGGAGGCAGGAAGGGGCTGCCTGGCAGCACTGCCTGCCTACCCGGTGGCGACAGGCTGTGGTCAGGTCAGGAAGCCGTGTAGCCACTGGACCCTGATCAGGAAGAGAGTGCGCTGGGTGGTAAAGCCCAGGAGTAGCCGGGGGAGGCAGCACTCCTCACTATTAGGGGCTCTGAAGGTGGAAACCGGTTCCTCTTCCCTTGCCTTATCTGCATCACGCAACCTTCTGGACTGGAGACTCCTTGTCCAGGGATCTCCCATCTAGCATTTTGCTTCTTGCAAGTGGGAAGGTGATAGAACAGAGTGGTGACTCCAGGAGTCTGGGAAGCTTTTCTTGAAGTATGGTATAAGTAGGAACCACCTCCAAACCCCAAATGCTTGTGGAGTGGTTATGAGCCTGGCACCACTGCCCAATTGGGGTGACTGTGAAGATGAATGGACCAGTTTTTGCTCTGCAAAGTTCACAGTCATGGGGAGGCTGTAGACCCAAACACACGGAGGAGGAAGAACATGGGGCCTCATCTGACCAGCGTCTTTCCAGCTCCAGGATGCAGAGCCTGCACACAGGGGACCAGGGGTGTAGCGGGGTCTGGACACCAGGTCACATGGAAGCCAGAAGGGAGGTGAGGGGGGCTGCCGACTCCCACCCTCACTCCTCACAGTCTTCACCTTGTGGTCACCTGTCTTCTACCTCCACCTCCCACTTCTCAGTGCCGCATTCAACAGTCACGTTGGCACCTTTATCTTCCTAGATTTTTCTAGTAGCATTTGACATGACTGACCACTTCCTCCTGAAGGTATCTCTGATCTTCAGTTACCGTGTCTTCACATTTCTCTCACCTTCTTGACAGTTTCCTGTCATTCACTGTCCTTTAGACTGCTTGATGGACTAACCCGTGGTAGGGCTACCTTTGCACACACACACACACACCACACACACCCCCCTCTCCAGCCCTCCCATCCTGGGTCACTTCCTAGAGACTCTCAGCGACTTCAACCCTGATATTACAAAGTCAGGCTCCTGCTGTTCTCCCCCAAGCTCGTCTCCCCAGCTCATGCCCACTCAGTGACTGCTGTGACCACCCTCCGGAAATCTAGAAATTGCCGAGTTCTCTGTCTGCACACTTTGCGCCTCCCTAAGGGACAGAGCAGACCGATCATCCCCTTTCTGTCCCCCCAGCTTCTGTCTTCTTCGCCCAGCCACTGTCCCCTCACCTGGACTGCCAGCACGCCCCACCGGCCTCCCTGAGCGCAGTGACTGCTCTGGGCTGCCTGTTTCCCACACAGCAGCAGAGGGTCTTAAGAAGAAACGTGCATCCTCCGTCCCCTGGCTTTGGGTGGTTTATGCACCCTGACTTACTACTGGGGACCCCATAAGACCTGGCCTATCTTCCCCCACATTCTCACTTGGTTTCTGTTCTTTGAGCTGCTCGCGAAGCCCTTTCTGGCCCCGGATAAGGAATGAGACCAGCACTCCCTCTGCCTGAAGTGCCGCCATGCTCTTCACAGGCTGGCTGTTCTGCACAGGGGCCCACCCCTTCAAGTCCTCCCCTAACACCCCCTGCCCAGGGAGCTCGCCCCTGCTGCTCTCTCCCTTCTCCCTATTCCCTTCGCCTCGGCATTCACACAATTAATAGATGTGAATGAATCGGTCTGCTTGTTTATTCCTGCCCCTGCCACTAGATGGGAAGCTCCCTGAGGACAGGGGTCCTGTGTTTTGTTCCTGATGCATCCACAGCTTCTCACATCAGAGTGTGTGCTCGTGGCCACGTGCCAGAGACACCCAGGAGGCCAGAGGCCGGCGGCATTTAGGTCTAAGTGAGTTCAGGTGTCCAGCTTACACTGCTGGACGGTGTAATAAAATCCCAGATACGGGAGGAGGAGTAGCTTGCGGGGCGAGGGGTCAGGGGCCAGGGTGTGTTGGGGTTGTAGTGAAGGTAAATTTGCCTCTGGCGTTTGCCAGCCCGACAGTGGACGGTGCGGTGTCGTGTCTTTGACTGTGTGAAAGCCATCCAGCTGCCATAATAAAGTGTCCCCTTCAGCTTCCCATCTCAGTAAGGAATTAGGATTCCCAGCCTCCTCCGCGTGTGGCCGCCTTTGAGCCCTCCTTCCCTTTCTCCTCCTCACCGGGGCTGGACCTCGCCTGTGCTCTGATCTGGGGCTCAGATAGCCTGGGTCTCAGGGCTCTACATCGCCAGGGCTCTGCGGGCATGACTGGTAGGGACTTATACCTGGAGGAGTCTGCTGGCGATGGGTCAGTGAGGACAACAGCTCAGGTAGCATCAGGATCTCTGGGCCCCCAGTTGAGAAGTTGGGGGTATAGCTGAGGCTGGAGAGCAGACTGTGCAGAGGGGGTGACAGCTGGGCAGTGAGTGTGGCTCCCTGCCAGGCTCAGGCTCTCGCTCGTGTGCTCGGACACACTTGGGGAGTTCAGCGTGGGGTGGATGGTGGCGGTTCCTGTGTTCTGAGATGAGCTCTGGCCACAGCTCCGTGACTTCTCCGCTGTGTGGCCCTGGCCAGTGTCTGAACCTCTCTGAGTATAGTGTGGTGGGTGCAGTAGCCCTTCATCAGGTTGGTGAGAGCAAAATACCTGACTGGTATTTTTTGGGAGCTAGCTGCAAGGTATTTGTATCAGGAGCCATTGTTGCTCATAGCACACAGAAATGGAAATGTCACTTGTTAAAAACAGAAAGGGAAAGTTGCCTGGTGGGAACCAGGGGAGCGGCTCCTGTGTCGCTCTGGTGCCCTGCCAGGAACTGAGAGAGCCAGGCAGAGATGAGAACCTGGTGACAGGCCACTGGGCGGTGGGGTGTGGGGCCTGCTCCCGACTTGTACCTTCCCCTTTCTCCAACAGCCTGGACTGGGGAGGAAGACTTCCCTGGCAGATTCTCTGGGCAGGGCTGGAGCAGGGTGGGGCCACTGGCAACAGGGGCTCAGGGAAGGGATGCTAGCACTGGGCCTAGGAATGGAGGCTCTTGTCTTGTGGCCAGGAAGTGTGAGGTGCTGCACTACTGCTGGGGAGCCCTAGGGAGCTCAGACTGGGAGGGCTGAGAGCGGTGAGTGTGGGGTGGTGAGGGGAGCGGAAGTCGGAAGCAACAACCGCCATACTCATAACTCACCATTCTGACAGACGGACAGACTGTGTGGCAGGAACTGCTCCTGGGGCCCAGGCACACTCATCCCTTCTTGGGTTCTCTGGAACGGAGCAAGGTAGGCCTGCTTGGGGTGGGTGCTGGGAGGGCCTGGCGCGAACAGCGGATGTGGAGCGTTACCTGTGGGTCCTTGTGGTAGTGGCAGGCACAGGTGGGCAGGAAGGAGGCCGGGGCTCTGCGGGCCCACTGTGTGTGGGAACAGGCTACAGCCACTGCCCTCCTCTGTCCTTCCCTTCATCTGCTCGTCCCTCAAATGCTCTCCCAATCGGGCCCTTTCTCTGATTCCCGCTCTGGCCCCCAATTATTCCAACCTCCCTGGGGGTAGTGAAGGCTGAAGGGCCAAGGATGCCACTGGCCTTTCGTGGGCCTCCTGGGTCCCTGGTGACTGCTATGTCCAGGACCAGAGGGGGCTTTTGTGACCAGAGTTTTGACCCCTAAACCCTGGTGAAGAGGGTACCAGGCAGGCCAAGTGTGGGGCTTGGGCCTTGGACAGCTTTGGGTATAGTGCCTGTGGGAACTCAAACTCAGATTTAGCAATTAGGGGGCTCTCAGATGGCCCCACTGGGGGGCTCCCTGGGAATTTGGGGACCCAGCTTATGGTTTTGTGGAACAGCTTGGTTTTGGTCTGTTGATAATGCACAGCGTAAGTCACTTCATTCTCAAAAGTGGCCCTGTGTCAACAGGCTGTCCTTGTAAAGAGAGCCATGGAGGAAGACCTGGCCACTGCCCCCTTTCTCTGCCTAAGATCTGCCTGCTGGAGGCCCCCGCCCCCATGCTAAAGGGCTGGGAAGGGTGACCTATCATCAGCTGGTAATAAATACCATCAGGACTGTTGGGCTGGAGGCAGATTTGAAAAATAGGTCCCAATGACAGGCCTCCCCAGTCTCCTGGGACATTAGAGCACCACAGGGACCCTCTTCCTACACATAACTGACTGCAGCCACTGGCATAGGGATCAGAACTATGGCTGCTGAGTTTTTTGTGGAGGGAGGAAGACAGGTGCCAGAAGGGTGAGGCCCCACCTGGCCCTGGCCTCCCAGAAGTCCTCATCCTTCCCTGTCGTCTGTCCTCCCTCCGGGCCTCCCTTACTGGGTCTTAGCTGGCCCTGGCCCCAGGCTCTCAGCACTGCTGCCTACTCTCCCATGCACCTTTGCGTGAAGGCAGCTGCCTTGTGGGCAGGATGTGGGGCCTCCCCCATTCATACCTCACTGGTCCGGGCTGGGGCTTCTGCCCTCTACGCTCCAGATGGGGTGCTGCAGCCTCAACTCCTGGGGGAGGGACTGTGGTCCTCTTGCACTTCCCACACCCTTCACCTCCTGCTGCGAGACACAAGCTCAGCCCTGCAGTGCTCCATGAAAACTCTCCCGCCCTCTTTCACTCCTCTCTTCTTCCCTCCTTCCTTTTCTCCATCCTTCCGGGCTAAGCAGACACTGACTGAGCAATGGGAACCAGATGAATTGGAGTGACTGCCTCAGAAGGGAACTTGTGAATACCCAAGGGAGTCTCTGTCTTAGGCAGAGAAAGGGGGCAGTGGCCGGGTCTTCCTCCATGGCTCTCTTTACAAGGACAGCCTGTTGACACAGGGCCACTTTTGAGAATGAAGTGACTCACGCTGTGCATTATCAACTTGCTAGGAAGAGGGAGGGAGGGAGCCCTAAAAGCAGCTCAAACTTGGATTTGGACCGCTGCTCCCCTCATGATTTGCTGAGCTACCTGGGCCAATTCCTGAAGTTCCCTAAGCCTTGGCTTCCTTATGAGTAGGAAGGCTATGGTGTCCCCACTTCGTTCATCATGGAGAGGCTGGCAAGATTGCAGGGCTTCATCCCCAGCTGGTAGGGTTGCCAGATGAAAACAAAAATTACCAGTTAAATTTGAACTTCAGGTAAACAATGAGGAAACTTTTAGCATAAACATGTCCCAAATGTTGGGCATCCTGTATCTTCCTTGCTAACTACGGCAGCCCTCGGTAGGGACTCCTGCGTGCCTGGGGACCCATCACCATCTTCAGAGGCTCTGTGGCCCCAGGTTACTCACAGAGTCCTGAAGCACTCAGGTCAGGACCACTGACCTTTCACTTTCTAATCACTTACACTAAAGCAGAACATCAGCCCCCACCCAGAACTTTGTCGTTGGGCATGAGTTTCATATGGGCCCCTACCGGGACTCAATCATTTCACATTTCCGTGGTGAGTCAGCCGTGAGCAGGCAGCACAGAGAACCTGCCTTTGGGTGCTGCCATCCTGTGAGTAGGGGGAGGCAGAGAGAACCAGCAAGTGTGCCCACTGAAACCACACTCGGACAGGGCTCCCGGATGAGGAGTGAGGGATGGAGGCGCCAGGCACAGCTTCTTGGCTCAGACTCAGCCCGTCCAACCACACGCCGGGCTGGCCACCACTGCTGCCCCGCTCTCTTGTCTCTCCTTCCCTGCTCCTCATTGCTTTGGGCCCTCATTCATTCCCCAGGGCACCCCTTTCTTCCACCACCACCCCAGCAACTGCCACAGCTGCTTTGAATTCACCCCCCTTGGAATTCGGTGAGAAACACCCGGCTTCTTCTGGGCAGGCACATCCGATACTATTTATGTCTTGCTTCACTGGTCACATGGACCAGTGGATGGCTTTAGGTACACATACCTGTTTGTGAGTACCCATTTGCAAAGGTGGACGTGAGGGACTCAGAAAAAGACAGGACACGACTTCACTTTCCAAGAGCTCCCAGCATTCCTGCTCCCACTATTGGCCCCTGAGCTGCTCCCGTCAGTGAGTGCACAGCTAGTGAGCTGAGGTCATGCAGGTCAGGTGCTCCTGCCCGGGAGATGCTCCTAAGACTGGTGCGCCTTCAAGGTTGTGGGGGGCTGGCGGGGAGGAGAGGAAGAGGAGCAGGGGTCTTGGGAGAGAGGGGATGCTGGGAGGTCCAGCTTTGAAATCTGGGGAGGAGAATGGGGAGCTACCCTGCGTTCAGGCCCTGTGCGTCTCTCCTCTGTCCTCTGGCTCCTCACTGGCACCTCTTCCCCATTATGCCCTGTGCCCTGTGTGCTGTTTGCTTGACAAGCTGCAGTGGCACACCATGGGGGACAGAGGTGTGCATGCCTGCCTGTGACACTGGGTGCTGGGGCTCACTCACCTCACTCCCCTTGGAAACAGGACTGCACAGGTCTCTTTCTTTTTCCCAGATAGGACTGAGAGCAGAAAATGGGCAGCTGCTTAGGGAGACCGTGATAGCCGCTGGCACTCTGAGGACGGAGGAGGACAAGTCAGAAGAATCTTCTACTTCTGACCTGGCGGGTGGGGGCTGTGGTTTCTAGGACCTAGCGTGAAGGCTGAGCTGAAAGAGTTGGAGACCAGAGGAAGAAGCATGAAAGGCAAGACTAACTCCAGTCAGTTTTATCTGGAGCTTCAAATCCAAGATTCCGAGTCAGAAATGGGCACAGCTTTGGGGAGTTAAGTCACAGTGTCAAGGAGCTGACCCATGAACAGATGGGCCCCAAGGCTGTCGGGGGCCATTCCTAGAGATGAAAACTGAAGAACCTTAGGCCAAAGTTCAGCAATTGCAGATTCTTGCTCTGCTGAAAGTGAAGACTGTTGGGATCAGGATGGAAGTGAGATAAAACCAGAATCACCTCAGTTAGCCTGCAGATCTGGGGGTGTAGGGAGGGTCCCAGGGGCTCCAGAAACCTCCTAGATTTCCTCTCTCCACTGCTAGGTGGCAGGACAAGGGTTTAGCCACATCCATGTGGTTCATTGAGCCCCACGCTCTTTACTGCTGGGCACATAGGAGAGACCTGTGGGCCCGTTAGTATATGGCACAGGCCCCCACAAGCCTGGCAGCGAGGAGGCTGGTGCAGGGAGGACTGCCCAGAGCAGCCTCTGTGGTGGGGAGAGGTCCTGATGTGGGTCAGGGTGAGCGGAGCCGACTTCCCTTACCAGCCGTGAGTCTCCAGGTGGGTCTTCAGCCTGGCTTCACCTCTGCAGCGGGGACCACATGCCTGCTCCCTTCAGGAGTGGGGTGGGAGGTGCTGGGCCAGCGAAGGGGCTGTTGTTCTTGGGGACCTCAGCCTGACAAGTTGGGTGCAGCCCTGCTCCCTTTGTTATAAGCACATGCATAGTCTTGAAGGCAGAAATATGTGCGTGAGGAAAGTGAGCTAAGGAAAGTGAGAAAAGGTGTGAGGAGGCCCGAGGGCCCTTGGGTGCTTGTCCCTGTGCTTGCTGAGAGCCAGCGCCAGCAGGGAGACAGCAGGGCTCATGTGTCCATGGGTCAGACAAGCCAGGTATTCTAAGGCCGCAGGGCCTGCGTAGGGACATACAATCTGCGGTTCTACACACGGGATGGGCGACCAGTGCTCTAGAGAGTACCATGAGAGCGTTCTCGCTGCATCCACTGAGGCCCATCCGAGTGCCATGTAGCCGCTGCCCGGGTGCTCTGAGCTGCTCGAGTGGACGCAACTGTGTACAAGCCTCCCCTCCCCGCAAGGCCATCTCGCCCCCAGGCAGCAGTGGTCGCTCGGCGGCACCCTGGCTGGGTCCAAGGGGTGCTGCTCCCTGCTTCCTTCTGGCCCACGTGGCATCACCGCACAGGAGCCACGAGCCTGTGACCCACGCAGGCCTTCCACGCCTCGGGCGGGAGAAATAAGGCAGCTGTGGCTTTTCTTTTCTGGGTGCCTGCTTCCCCCGCAAGTTATTCCACTCCTTGCCCCCAGGCTGTGCCTCCAGCTCCCTCATATTTTGGTGGCTGCTATTTTCTCAATGTCCTCCTGCTTTCACACTGTTTTGAGGCATCTCCGCCTGAGCCAGTCTCTCAGTCCCTCCATTCTGCAATCCAGATTCCCAAGAGAAGGGTCTGACAAACTGCCAGCTCATCTTTTTTAGCTACGACACCCCTCTGGCCACCTGCAGCCAGTACGCAGTGTAGCCCTGGTGCAAGCAGGTGAGGTTGTGGGGCCTGATAGCATGTGCGGTGCCCTCCTCACCCACAGCTGCACAGAGCAGGGCAGTGTCCCGTAGCCGACCGACCTCAGACTCGCGCCCAGGGGCCAGTTCGCTCAGCTGTGTTGGCTTTGTGTTGGCAGGGTAGGTGTGGATCCCCGCCTCCCCCCGGCCAGCGCTCCCCGTAATCACACCATGGGGTTGTGAAGGCAGACGCCTCTGGAGCTCATTAGCAGTTTGCACTGTGTGGATGATGGGTGACGACGGACCCTCGGAACATCCCAAACCCGTGGAATTTCTTAACGTCTGCTTGGAAGACAGCCTGCAGCCCCACCCAGAAGTGCAACTGAGGGAAACGTGCAGCCCCCCTGACTCCCCAGAACCTTGTGGGGATCAGACCCTGGCCTTCGACCCTCCTGATCCCATCAGGCAAGATGGGCCTCCTGGGGACTCCTGTGCCTCACCCACACAGCTGGGGAACAGCTCTCCCCAGGGTAGCCCACAGGAGGGCCAGAGCAACTCCACCCAGGTGATGTTCTGGGAGGGCATCCTGCAGGCCCGGATGTGTGTCCTGGACCTGGAGGAGGAACTGGAGAAGACAGAGGGGCTCAGGACTGACCTGAGGTGTTGCCTGCCCGCTGCTCCTGCCGACCTCCCAACTTTCTCCGCCAGCCCCTCGGATCCCCAGGACTCGGGCCTCCACCCCAGCCCGTGTGCGGAGGAGGCCTCTGGGGAAGACGGCAGCGGGCCCGAGGGCGAGAGCCAGATCCCTGTGTGTTCCAGGGAGGGATCGCCAGGCTCTTCCCCAGAGTGGGGTCCCGAAGAGGAGAGCGTGTTCTTCGACAACCCCCTCTTCCTGGAAAGCCCTTGCTCTGACACCAGCTCTTCCGGAGCACGCTTTTCCTGGGACTTCTCAGCCTCCCTGGTGGATGTCAGGACGGCGCCCGAGAGCCCACAGACGCAGGGGCCTCCACTCCCAGAAGCCAGAGTGCCGTGGGAGCAGGGGAGCGAGCCTGACTGTGGGGGTGGCACTGCCGCTGACTCCAATGGGCACTCCGCCCCCTTGATCCTTGTGCCCACCTACAAAACACACTTCCTTTACTGGGCCACACCGGACACCACCGAGGGGGCTTCAGTAGAACCTCCTGACCAGGACGAGAGTGAGGTGAGTGGTGTCAGGCCTGAGTGTACTTCTCAGATGCTCAAGCTTTTGGAATCTGGGAGTCAGAACAGAAAAACAGGCCTTGTGTGGCTTTCAGAGTTGTGGGAAGTTTTAGCCATTCCACAACGTCACTGGATGTAAAGGCCTTTAAAGCACAAGTGTCTCATCTGGCCAGCTCCAAGGGACTGTGGCATTCGGTTGCCTATTGTGGCATATTCCAGACCATTCTCACACTCTACCCTCCCACCTCTGAGACACTGCTAACTGCAACAGGACAGAGGTCGGCCTGCAAGGATGGGGTGGGTGTCTGTTTTAAGAGCTCCACCTTCACTTGAGAGAGTTGAGCATTTTGTTACTTTAGTTCACCATCTTTCCCTTCGCCCCTCCCTCTCCAGTGTCAACAGATCAGGCTGCTGTAACAAAGGCAGTCCTTGACATCTACTGGGACAAGTTCTGTGAGACAACACAGAGTTTCCCAGGGAGGCCTCTGCTTAAGAGATAAGGCTACTCAAGATGGCAGGGAGGGCTGTAACCTTCTAATCTCTCTAATCCCAAGAACAGTGGAGAAGAATCTCTAGTCCTGCAGCTGTGTCTCCCAAACCAGGGGACTCCCAAGTACCGTGGGAGCCCCTGTCCACCGTAGGCCAGGGGCCCCGTGAGGGGCAGTTACGGTCCTGTCCTGTAGAAGTGTGTTATCTCAGGACCTTCTTGCTATCGGGTACGTGGGGCCCCACAGGGACTCCTGGGAGCCCAGTCTTAGAGCTGGCGGCCTGCCCTATCTTGGAGAGGAGAGCTACACTCCATGCCTAGGCTGTCACCCTGTGCCAGCACCTCCTCAGACTGGCGCTCCAGGAGGCATGGCATCGGGCGTGGAGCAGAGACAGCAGAAGACAGTGGGGGTAGCTAGGAAGCCCAGAGGGCCTTGTGCAGTGGGAGAAAGGCCCTGGGCCAGGGTCCCTTTCTCAAACCTCTCTCTCCCTTTCTTCTCTCTGCTAAGCCTGTTCTAGGAGACAGTCTTAACCCTGCGCCCTCTGCAGCACCCTGTGTACAAGAAGCGTCAGCCTGGGAAGCGGGACACGCTGGATCTGAACCCAGCTCTGCCACACACCATGTGCAACCTTGGGCAAGTCGCGGCCCTTCTTTGGTCCTCACCTCCACCTGACTAGGGAAGGAATGTGAATTCAATGATTTTCAGGCCCAGCATTCCTAGGATGTGTCTTTTCCCACCCAGGATTCCATTTCTAAACTGAGGGCCCGAACTGGGCCATGTGTTCTGGGTCGGGGGACAACTGCAGGGAGGGGGGCTGTGTATACACCCAGTTATTCTCCCGTGCCCTCCTTCCCCCTCACTGTCTGGCCACTGCCTGCACTTCCCAGTGCCACAGGGCTCCAGGAGATACGGGTGTCTCTCTCCACAGGCCCAGCCCAGCCCTGAGGAATGGCAGACAGAGGAGGGCCCTCTTCTCCCCGAGGGCAAAGGTGAGGACAACCGGAGAGTCTGGGAAATGGGGTGGTGGGAGCCTTTGGAGTCAGGAGTGGGGACAAAAAGCCTTCTGGGATCCTGGGGTGCCACTGAGTACTTGCAGTGTATTGGGTTGGAACCAGACTTGAGGTTAAAGCCTGCTGCAGAGACTTCACTAGTACAGTGGATCTTCAAAATTGATTTCCTAGAGTAAATGATATGTACAAAATGACCCAGTATTTTCAATGCCTGGTCTAGTGGATCAACAAGTCCTGAACCCTGGTTGCCTTGGGCTCTGCGTGTGGGAGGTCAGTGCACCAGGGAGGGACAGGACATGCTGTCCAGCCTCAGGGGAGGAGCCCCAGGGAGGGAGCTGGCGAAGAGGCAGCCAGGCTCTTCTGCCTCTGCCGGCCCCTGGGCCCTCAGCCTGCCTCACACATTCTGTGCCCACCTCACTCCATGCTCGCCTCCAGGTGACAGGGATGCTGAGTGTCCCCAGGAGTCAGCTTCCTACACGCTGGTCCCCGGGCCCTGGGGTAGCCCAGCCTTTTCACCGGAGCCTAACAGCCCTGAGTCTGAGAGCAGGGGCCGCAGCCCCAGCCCCAGCCCGGAGCCCTCTCAGGAAAGCAGCACCCAGCTGCAGGACTGCCACACGGACACCACCCTCCCAGAGCGGACACTAGATGCTTCGTGCCCTTTGCTCTTGGAGATAGATGGGGCAGAGCCCAGTTCTCTGGAGAAAGAGGAGGAAGGAGCGACCCCAGGCCCAGAGAAGGAAGTAAGCAGTGAAGGCCCGGCAGGGCCTGCGGCTGGAGTCATGCAGCCCGACGCTCACCTGACCCCCACGGAAGGGTAAGTGGCCCTGCTGGCTCTGGGCTCTCGCGTGTGCATGCGCTTAAAAGACCCTAGTCTGGGTGCACATGAGAAATGCACACTGGGACTTTGTATATTAAAGCCAGGATGACATTGCACGCCCCAGCAGTAAAGAGTAAAGACAAAGGTTTGAAAGTAGAGAAGCTGAAGAGCTGACAGCGTGCACGCAGGGCAGGATTTGGGTGTACCTAGAGGGCCCAGAGGAGTCCAAGGTGGGACGGGGCGGTGGAGGAGTGGGGGTGTCGGGGAGCTGCGCACATGCCCGGAGAGGTGGGCGCGCTCCAGCAGGCCTGGGAGTGAAGTCGGCTCGCATGCTGCCTTGCACTTGAGGAGGCGCTGGGGAAATTCCGCCAGCAGGAGAGCTCGGTTGGGCCCAGTGGAGGATTGACCCCGTGCCATCTCACTGTCATTGTGTCGTGGCAACCAGAATTCACAGAAGCGTCTGGAAATCCATGCTGTCTCCAAGGGGTTTGAGAGGCTTCAGAGATCAGAGGAGTTTCTCAGTATCTAAAAAGAACAGGTTCTTTTTACCAAAAACTAAAGTCAGTTCAACTCAAAACAAAAGTAAATCAATCCACCTAAAAGGAGAAGCATGCTTTCATAGCGAATGATGAGAAAGGGTTTAAGTGGGGCTTTCTTGGTGACACACTTACAGAATGAAGTTTATTTCACCTTATTAGCACCGTGTAGGAGGTTTAACTTTCCAGCACAAATTCACTGTCACATAAAGGTCATTTTCGTTTCATCTCAGTTATCGCAGCCATTATATGTTCTTTATTACTTATTAGTAATAATATTGTTATTAAATTATTATATCTATTCTATTTGTAACAGCTTTGCTGAGATAAAAATTAGATACTTGTATTCACTCGCTTGTATTCATGACAGTTTATGTCCATGTAATGTTTTTTTCTTCCAAGTACTTCCCCATTTAGATGTTATTTCTGTAAAAGTACCTTAGGGCTTTGCCACCTGACTGTCCACATGATTCTCTTTGGCTGTGACAGTGGCCATTATTTTTATTTTCTCCTTTTCGCTTGCTTGCTGGACTAATTTCCAGTTCTTCCCTGGACATTGACTTTGCCTGGGACTCCTGGAACTTTCCAGCATCATTTTCAGGCACTTCATGAAATCCTAGGCTCTTTGGCAAGACTTGTAGTCCCACTGTTGACTACATTTTTCCTTAATTTGTGCACAGCTCGGTGTAAGGAGCCCCGGGAGGCAGTGAGAGAATTGCAGCAAAGGTGCTGACCCTGTCGGGCCAGAGATGGGCATCGTGTGAACACAGAGTGCTGCTGAGTGTTTTAGAAGGGGTCAGCGGCCTATCAGCAAAGCGTTGCCTTTCCTGGGGACCTTTGCTGTCTCTACCACTCTGCAACTGGGCCCTGGATCACAGGGATGGCCCACCCCGGTCAGTAAGGTGGCAGTGGGAACTGAACTCAGGTAGAGCTTAGACTTGTGGCCTGCCGGGTGCTCAGTGTCTCACTCTGCGTGCTCTCCGGACTGTCGGGGTTGCCAGGCAGGCCTGAGGACACTCCCAGTGCTCCCCGTCCAAGGTCTTCCTTTGCCGGGGCCGCCTATGCAAGGAGGGAGGTGGAACACCGGCCTCCCCGGCCGTCACCATTCCTAAGGCTGGACCCAGGGTTCCTGTCCTCACCATGCTGTTTCCTGGCTCCAGACCTTGGAGTAGGGGCTGGAGCTGGGCTTGGGTGGGGGAGATAGAGGAGGATCAAGGAGGCCTTATGAAGATGGCAGGACTGGTGAGGCCCTGACAGGCCTGCCTTCCCTGAGTAGGCTAAACACCTTTGGGGTAAACTGGGCTCAGAATGTCCCTGTGGTTCACCTGAGCATATGATGAATCCCAGGCTTGGTTTCCACCTTTGATGGCTTTGCAGGACAGTGCCCTGTCTGGGTCCTTCAAGTGCCCGCCAGCCAGATGGGTATTCTGTGACCCTGCCTGCCTCTGGGGGAGGCCCTGGTCCATCCCCTCCACTGCTCTGGCCCTGAGCGCTGGCCTGCACTCTCAATACCCTCTCTAAGACCTGCCCTAGAAGCTCTCCGTGTCCATCCCAAGGGGGCTGTCTGAGGACACCAATGGACTCTTGCAGGCTTCCCGAGGACCCCATGCCCCGAGCCCACTTGCCAGTGGAAGACCAGAAGTCACAGGCTGGAGACAAGCTGGCTAATGGCGTCAGCACTGACAAAGTGGCCTGGAATTTGGCCTCTCGCCTCTATCACCTGGAGGGCTTCCGGAAGTCTGAGGTGGCCGCCCACCTGCGGAAGAAGTGAGTGGCTCTGAGCCTGACTGAGTCTCAGGCTGAGACAGGATGGAGAGGAGCTGTTGCAAGGCCCCCTTCACGGGCTGCCCTCCCCCACCGCCCTGGCACCCCAGCATTCCTGTCCCAGGCCATCTTCCCCTCGCCCCCTCTCTCTCCATCTTGCCAGGCCTGCTCCTTCCTCTAGTGACTCTGCATCACCCCTTCTTCACACCCCTGACCCCTGCTTGGTGCCACTAGACTGGGTCCCCTTGCTTTTCCCTCTCCAGCTCCCTGGCTCCCTCCCACCCAACACTGGCTGGAGGGGCCGAGGGGGGCCAGCTCTTTGCCCTCTTGGGGCCCAGGGTCCAACCTTTCCCTTTCTCGGTCCTGGCCTGTCAGGCCCAGGCTGTGTGCAGGGCCTGGGGTCCCCAGCCCAGGACCCCTGTTTGACATCCTCCCCTTTTCCCTCCACAGCAATGACTTCAGCAGGGCTGTGGCTGCGGAGTACTTGTCCTTTTTCCATTTTGGTGGCCAGAACCTGGACCGTGCGCTCCGGTAGGTCTTTGGGCCCTTTCTGGGAGACCAGAGGAGAGGACTGGCTTCAGGGGGGTGGCATGGCTGAGGTTGGAATCTGGTCTTTTCTCTGCGGCCTGCCGGCCACGCTGGCCTGAGCTCCAACCCTGCTGACCTTCCTCCTAGGCAATTCCTCCAGGCCCTGGTGCTGAGTGGGGAGACACAGGAGCGCGAGCGAATCCTTTACCAGTTCTCCAGACGCTTCCATTACTGCAATCCCGGGGTCTTCTCCTCAGTAGGTAGGGAGGGGCTGGCCCCGAGGCAGGGCAGGGGGACTTTGAGGCACCCAAGAAGATGGCATGGATGTGTCCCCATGACTGCTTAGGAAGGAGTTCACTGGGTGTCTGCTGCTAGGAGAGTGTTTGGAGGGGGTAGAACTGGAGCATTAGGGGTCACCCACTCAGAGGAAACACAGGCGTTCAATTGCACTTCTCTCCACTTACCTCTTGGGGGCAGACTGTGTACACACCTTGACCTGTGCCATCATGCTCCTTAACACAGACCTCCACGGACAGGTGAGAGGAGGGGAGGGTGCCCGTGGGACCTGTGGCAGGCAGGCGCTGGGTCGAGGGGCTGGAAGAGGGAAGCTGAGATCAAAGCCTGGGGCAGGGTCAGCATAAAGCCCTGTGGGATGCGGCGTGGGGAACTGGAGGAGGTTCTGGAATGACTGGCCGGGGGGTTACCCTTTGGGGGAGTGTGCACCTGCTATCCACTCTGTCCGTGGCCCTAGAACATCGGGAAAAGCATGAGCTGCCAGGAATTCATCAACAACCTGAACGGCCTGAAGGATGGCGGGAACTTCCCCAAGGAGCTGCTGAAGGTACCGTCATGGGGCTTCCCAGAGCGAATGCCGAGCCCAGGCTGGCACTGCCCAAGCACCCCTGGGAGGACAGTGCTGGCTTATGACAGGCTGCTAGACCTGTGCCCTGGCCAGCAGGATCGGCCTCGCCTTGGCATCTGTTAGCTGGTGCACATCCAAACTTCTGTGCCCCCACGAACCTCCTGACTCAGAATCCCTGGGGCTGGGGCCCCTACAATGTTGTTTTAAGCTCTCAAATGATTCGTTGTCTCCTGAAGTCTGAGAAACTGTTTGTTTGTTTTCTCCAAGTGAACATAAGGAAAGAGCTTTAAGTGCTAGAAGTCTGGAGCTGGGACTTGGGAGCCAGATATTCTGAGGTTTGAATGCTAGTCTTGACCGACTAGGCATCTTCTTGGGGGCCATAGCACTTTGTAGTGTTGCTATCACCATGACATAAAGCTTGTCCGGTGCTCAGCACAGTGCCTGGCACACAGCACACCTTGCACAAGCAAATGCAGCTTGTGTGCTTTTGTCTAGTAGAACATTCACTGAGCAGTTCCCATGTGCCAGGCCCCTGTGGAGGCAGCGCTAGGAATACAGATCATCTGACTGACACTTCAGTTGTACCGGCTCAGAGCATTGCAGCCAGCCAGCCAGTCACTCACCATGCGTTTATTACCCCTGCCAGTCAGCTATTCCTCCTCTGTCAGGTTCCTTCGGGCAGGATGGCATGTGGGTGACTCATTTCTTCTTCAGGAGAACTAGTTCAGGCCAGGTAGGGACTGGGCTGGCTTTGCTCACCTTTCTGTCTCCAGCACCCAGCACAGGCACGCTGCAAATGCCCTGCAGTGGTTGTCTGTGTGTGTGTGGACCAGCCACTTCCCTGCTCAAGGAGGAGGGGCAGCCCTGTTGGGGAGACCAGGTGGGCTGCAGCATGCTCCTCTCCCAGCTCTGCCAGAGTTCGCCCCCAAGTCTGCCCACCTGTGTGTTTCTGTTCCAGACCCTCTACTGGTCCATCCGAAGTGAGAAGCTGGAGTGGGCAGTGTAAGTGAGAGTCTCCTCGCTCTGCCTCTGTCCTGTGTCTGGGTATATCCTCCCTCCACCTGCCCACTGGAGAGTTGGAAAAGTTTGGGTGCTGCCTCTGAGTAGGGTGGAGCCCGAGGCAGGGCCCTGGGCCAGTCTCAGAGAGGCGGAGGGTCCCAGGTAATATTTGGAGGAGCCAGAGGCTGTATGTGGGGGGATGAGGGTCGGGGGTGGGTGGGGGGGTGGGGGTGGTGGTGGAAGTGGTTCCAGGATCAGTGGTGGTTTCAAAAGAGGACACCTTTTGGGGGACCCTGGAGTCTGGCTCCCCAGTAGGAGAGTGGGTGCTGACGCCCTGGGAAGCAGTGATTCCCTCCTCTGGTTCATTAGCCTGATTCTCTGATATTCAGGGATGAAGAAGATACGAGCAGGCCTGAGAAGGCCCCGCTATCACCCCCAATTGGCAAGATGGGCAGCCCCTTCCTCCAGCTGGCCCAGGACCCCACCGCACCCACCTATAAGCAGGGCATCCTGACTCGGAAGATGCACCACGATGCAGATGGCAAGAAGAGTGAGTGCTGCTTTGCTGCAGCGTGGGGCGTCTGTCTGTCTGGGGCAGCGTGATGCGTACGCGCCGCTTCGCTCAGGGACAGGAGCTGACATGTGCACGGGTCAAGGATAGGCAGTTCTATTCCTTCCTCACCAATGACCAGGGACGGGGCATTCCTGTCCCCCAACCCCTCTGGTGAGGCCAAAACTGGCCAAGCACCGCAGGGCCTGGAATAATCTCAACAACTAACGCTCCACAGTAGTCTGCATGCCGTGTTCCTGCCCGAAGAGGGGCAGCTCTGTTGGGGTGACCAGGATTTGCTGAGAGGTGCGGGGATGGCCAGATCAAGTTCAGGGATGTGGGGGAGAAGGTTTTGCTTTTTGTTTTGGGGGTGCATTGTGGGGGGACAAGCTCACAAGGCTCTTGGAAGTGAAGGTATCTGAGCTGAACGCTGGAGGGAGACAGGGTCTGGATATTCAAAACGGAGTAAAAGGCGAGGTGGATTTGTGCTGAACAGGGACGTGTGAGAGTGGCAGAGATGCGTTTGGGCCTCAGTCCCAGACAGCTGCGGGCTTGAGAACAGGCAGGGACACGGCCAGAGCTGTAGGAGAATCCCAGCCTGGACTGGGCGCGGCCACCCAGGGAATTAGCATGCGGCTGACGGAAGCCCAGGGGCCTGAGGAAGGCCTGAGGCCCGGGCCTCTCTGGAGGGAGCTGGAAGATGTCTGGGTGGCACTGTGCTGGCTGGCTGGCAGTGGTGTGTTTGAGAGGGTATGTTCTGTGTGAACGCTGGCTGTGTGCATACGTGGCCGGCCCGGTTTTCAGGCGTGATGACCTATGTGGGGCACGTGACCGGCTTGGTCACGATCGGGTGTGTGTTTTGTGTTGGCGTGCCTCTGCCTGTTGTGTGCACCCTGGGGAGGGCCTGGAGAGGGGGAGGGAGAGGAGGGCTTTGTGTCTGGATGGGGTACCACCACCCACCTTCCCATTCTGCACCTGGGGCAGCGGCGTGGGGCAAGCGGGGCTGGAAGATGTTCCACACCTTGCTGCGAGGGATGGTCCTCTACTTCCTGAAGGTAGGCGGCCTGTCCACACTCCCCGAGGGCGGGGGGCGGGGGGGGGAGGGGCCTTGGACGCTTGGGAGGGGCACAAGTGATGACAATGCTCTTTGCTGAAACCCCTTGTCCTGTAGCAGGGAGAGGACCCCCCTCCTCCTGAGGGGGAGATTTTGGTGGGGCAGATGGTGGATGAGCCCGTTGGGGTGCACCACTCGCTGGCCACTCCCGCCACCCATTACACCAAGAAGCCTCACGTCTTCCAGCTGCGGACTGCAGACTGGCGCCTCTACCTCTTCCAGGCACCGTAAGTCCCTGGGGTAGAAGACAGGTAGCGAGACCCCGGGCCCTGCAACCCTTCCCCCACCTCCACTCGCCCTGTGCTGGCTGCTGGCCTGGCCCTCGTGGGAGCTATGTCTTGGCCAGGAAACAGCAAATGCTGCAGCTGGAGGGGTCCTAGGCTGTCCCTAGGAAGCACGAGAGCTCTCTGGGTCGGGACCCACTTTGCCAGTACATCAGCCTCTTCCTTGGATGTCTGGATGGGGCCTCCGGATTCTGGACAGAGGCCAGGAAGTCACTAACAGTGACCTATCGTTATAAGATCGACTCCCTTCCTAGATTTTTCCTTTTGGCCTGTGACAAGGTCACTTGAAGAGTCGACCACACTGCTAGGGGCAGTGTGGCTGAGTCCTGAGCCGCTGGACATGGAAGTTTGGGGGAGGAGGGGCAGGTGACCGGAGCGACCCTGACCCTGGGCACCAACAGCCTCCTCTGCCCACAGCACTGCCAAGGAGATGAGCTCTTGGATCGCTCGCATCAACCTGGCCGCTGCCATGCACTCAGCGCCGCCTTTTCCCGCTGCGGTGGGCTCCCAGCGCAGATTTGTCAGGCCCATCATGCCCATGGGCCCTGCCAACAGCTCCCTGGTATGGCCCCCGGGAGCCGCGGCTGGGAGGGGGCTGCACGGGATCTGAGCCAGAGGTCTGGTGGGGGAGAGAGCGGGGGCAGGGCTGTACCCTGGGCCCTGGAGCAGAGAAGGCTGGGCACCTGGCCGGGAGAAGGGTCAGGAGGACGGGCGCTGCTGCATTTTTTTTGGGTTTTTTTCCAGGACAGGAAAACCAGTAGCTTTATTTCCCAAGGTGGGGGACTGATTGATTTGTGGCGCAAATTGCAAACCCATGCCGGGAGGCTCTTGGAGGTGTAGCAAACAGCAAAAAAGACAGAAAAGAAAGAGGGAAATCTCGCAGCCCTGGTAGTGAGGTTGCAGCGCCAGCTAGGGCAGGGGACAGGTGACATGGAGATGAAACAGGGAGATCTTGGCCATGGGAGAGCCATGGAAGATCTGTGGAAACTTCCCCCAAGTGGGGAAGTGCAAGTAGAGGCAGACTCTGTCTTCACACAGACCCACTGCAGAGGGCACAGACCCCATGCACTGAGGATGCAGTGGTCTGTGGTCTGGGAACAGAGGAAGGGAGCGTGGCACACCTGGGCTCTGGAATGAAGAGGTGGAGGACGGTGGGCAGCTCGCCTGTCCCCAGGAATGGGGGATAGGAGTGGGGGATAGGAATAGCGAGTAGGCTCCACACCTGGATCCTGAAACAGGGATGTGGGAGGAGGGGGGCATGGAAGGGGAGCCATCTCGGGACAGCTTTTCCCACTGCCCCCTACTGCTAGGAGGAGCAGCATCGATCCCATGAGAACTGCCTGGATGCTGCCTCGGATGACCTGCTGGATCTGCAAAGGAACTTACCAGAGCGGAGGGGCCGCAGTAGAGAGCTGGAAGAGTACCGCCTGCGGAAGGAGTATCTGGAGCATGAGGTGAGGCACCCCAGTCTCAGCCAGCCAGGCCTCCCAGGCCTTTGGGACCCCCTTTGCCTCCCCAGCCCGACCCTCTGCCGCCCTCTTGTGGCCGCCTGCGGCCCTGCGGCCCTTGGCTGCTTAGGGCGAGCGAAGCCATTTGCCTGCCCACACCGGGCTCTCTGGGCGCTGCCTGTACATTTACGGACAAGTGCACGCGCAAGGAATGCATGGACTGTGCAGCCGGGCCCTTTGCTTCTTGCTCTGGAGGCTCAGAGCAGCTGTTTGCCTGGAAACCAAACCCTAGGGGCTGATACTAAATATTTTGGTTCTCAATTTAGATTTGGCTTTCCAAAGTAAAAACTATATTTTTAGCTGATTTATTCCCCCTAATACCTAGATAGGAAGTGTTTTTAGAGCTTGAGTTGCTTGCATGGGTTATCTTATTCTGCGATACAACAACTCTGGGGTGGGAGGGACTGTTACCTTTATTTTACAGAGGAGGAAACTGAGGCAAAGAAAGATGAAACAACTTGCTCAAACCTGATAAATGTATGTGTTACTTCAGTCCCAGAGTCCCCGGTGTGGCTGAACCCAGCCCACAAATGTGAGAGCCTCGTTTGTGGTTTTAGTTAAGAAATGACCTTTATTAGCTCTGTGATCCATGCTGAAATGTCTTATCCCTTAATCCCGCCTGCATTCCCTTCAATTTGGCCTCCTGTCCAAATTCTGGGACCCTAAGCAGGAGAGATAGGGGAGAGGCAATGTGAGCACAGAAAATGTATGAGGCCCAGAAAAGGAAGCTGAAGGTCAGGGTGGCCTCCTGGCCACACCTGCTGGGCTCTCCAGCAGTGCTCTTTCTCTGGGCTCTGGCACATTCTTGTGGCTGCTGGTTGTGGCAAGGCCCAGAGGCCCGAGTGTGGCTGAACCCAGCTCTGACTACAGAATCCCAGCCTCCCCCTTCCTCCCCACCCCACCCCCATCCACCAGCTGGGACTTTTAACAAGCTCCTGGCTGTCCCTAGGCCTCATTTCCCTCTTTATAAAGCAGAGGATGATTCGTGTCCCACCAGCCTCCTGGCAGCCAGGATGAGGGCCCCGTGGGATGGAGGTGGAGAACACTCAGTAAACTGGGAACTGTATCCAAAGGATGCTAGTTACAGAGACCTTAGGAGTGTGAAACAGATGAGGGTGATCATGCTCTCCAGATGCCAATTGTTAAAATGCTATTCAGACTCAATTATGGTTCAGTACAGATGTGAGCTGCTTGTGTACAGGGCCGCCCAGATCTCAGGCCTGGTGGGCTAGAGATCTTTGAGTGTCTCTGACATGTAACACATTCTAGAGCTGTTAGTTACCGCCCTACAAGGTTGGCTATTAGAACAGGGCTGGGCTGGTAGGTGTTCTAATACCATGCAGATAACTGCAGGGCTCTAATGTTTACTGCTGTGTTATGCAAGGGCTGGTTGCTCAAGTACGATACGGTTAGCTGTTGGCCCAACCTCTCTCTGAACAGGTCTGTATTGCCATAGCTTCTCACATGGGTGAGCTGCCTGTCCCCTGCAGTCCAGCCTCCTCCTGAGCTGGAGCCGGGGTGGTGCTCAGGGGCTGGGTCTTGTGTGTTGTAGAAAACTCGCTATGAGACATACGTGCAGCTGCTGGTGGTCCGTCTGCATTGCTCCTCGGATGACCTGGACCTGTGGGAAGAGCAGCTGGGGAGGGAGGCTGGAGACCTTCAGGAGCCCAAGCCCAGCCTGAAAAAGTCCCACTCCAGCCCGTCTCTGCATCAGGATGAGGCCCCCACCACAGCCAAGGTGAAGCGCAACATTTCAGAGCGTAGAACCTACCGGAAGATCATCCCCAAGCGGAACCGCAACCAGCTGTGAAGCTAGCAGACACTGGCCCCTGCTCTGGGTGGACAGAGGTGAAACCCTGCAGGGCAGCCTCGTCTCAGTGCGCCCTTCATGACGGAGGCGAACCCGCTGTCCTGCTCCTCCTTCCCAGTGGACCCATTTCCCCATGGACCTCATTCTCTCCCTCTCTCACCGGAGCTCTTACAGCACTGCCGTGCCTTCCCTGAGGGCGGTCCATGGGCACTCCAAGAGTGCCTTGTTTCCTGGGCCTGCATCAGGGGCAGCATTTGCTTAAGAATCAGTTCACCCTGTCCTGGGCTTATGGAAGAGACTGGGGCAACAGAAGTCTTTGGGTAGTCAGCGAGGGGGCCTTAGCGCCAGGGGTGGCACCAGCAGGCGGCCTGTTATGAGAGACCCTGGAGGTCCTGGCCAGCTCCTATGACAGGGAGTAGCTCCACTCAGCCCCTGCATGGAGGGGCCAGACTTCTGGGCGGGCCTTCAGATGGCCTACAGGCAGGTGGCAATCAGGTGAGGCTGACTGGGGCCTGCGTGTCTCTCTCTCCTGGTGCCTTTCCCTGTCCTTATCCTTGTACAAGGGGCTGATGAGGGCCCTCTCTCACCCATCCAAATGCCAGCCAGCAAAACAGACTGATGGAGGTCAGTGAGAACCAGTGGTGTGGTCTCCAGAGCACTGGAGCATCTGGGAACAGGGGCCTTTGTTTCCCAGGCTAGAGAAGGAGATTCTTCAGGTTCAGACTTCAGGGAGCTGAGGAGTAAGAGGTGGGGGTACGTCCGCCTGGGGGTTCCCTGGGCAGGACCCTTGGCTGAGGAGATTTGTGAGGGTCACACTGGCTCTCTTCTCAGACCCCCATTCCTTATAGCTCCATTCCTGAAGGCACCAGTTCCCTTTTTGCCCTCCTGCCACATCACGGGGGCTTTGCTGGCCTCCCAGGAAGTCTCCTTGTGCTGCCCTCTGGCTGCCTCCCAGCTGGACCTGTTCTGGGGGAAGGTTCCGGAGGCTTGGGGTCCGAGGCTCTGCCTGTGGGAAGGAGGCTGGGCCGGGGGAGCAGCCACCATTGTCTCTGTTCAGCCAAGTGTGCGAGCAGGCTGTCCGCCCGCCCGCCCGCCCGCCGCCGCCTGCCGGCTGACGCACTGCCTCTCCCTTCCTGCTGGTCCTCCCTTCCAGGCTTGTGAGCAGCCCTGGGCCTGGACCATCACCCCAAAAGGCTGACCTTTGGGGACATGAGGAATCCTGAACCGGGGCCCAGAGCCAGATCATGCACCCAATGGGTGCGCAATAAAAACAGGCCAATGAAGAAGGTGTGCTGGAGTGTGTGCAGGGGGGAGCGTCAGGCGGTTCTGGGTAGCTGGGGCTCCTCTGAGTGGCAGACTCGCCCCCTTTTCTCTGAATGGCTGTATGTGTCTGTATATATGCAACTGGTGTGTGTGTGTGTGTGTGTGTCTGTGTGTGTGTAGAACACTGTGCAGCATCCAAGATTTGTAAATCTATTAAAGCTGGAGGGGACTTCAAGAATCCTTTACTCATCAGTTGACTCATTCATTTACTCATTTCACAAATAATAGTGACCACTTTTTTAAAAAATATTTATTTATTCATACAGAACTGGGGTACAGGTCAGAGATGCGGAGGGTGAGAGGATTCACCAGCGACAGAGTGGGAAGCAGAACAGGCAGATCGACGAAGTACACTGCTGAAGGGAGCAGTGGGTGGGTCAGGAGAGGTCTGCCACGCCATGTGGTCTCCTCCGGGGCAGGCAGGGATCAAACTCATGCGGAAGTGGCTTTTAGCTTCTCAGTGCTGTGCTTTAACCCGCTGCGCCACCAGGGAGGGCCCAGTGACCACTTTTTATGGTGTTGTACTAGGTAACTCAGAAGGAATGAAACATGCCTCTGACCTCCGCGGGATGGCATGCCACCCTTGATCCCCAGATGTCAGGGTAGAGGCACGATGAAGGCACTTTCCTACCCTAGCCCCAGGGGTCTGGATTCAGTAGTTCTGGGCCAGGGGCTAGATGTGCATTTTTAATGCTTCTTGGGACACGGAGGTGCATGGCCGAGTCCAGTTGTCCCATTTGACTGAAGTGAGCACTGAGCATTGGGTGACTAGGCCCAGGGCTGGTGCTCACAGGGTAAACGCCCTAAGTGGGTTGTTTGACTTCACTGAACATGAGTCCTTATTTCTAATACCAGAGAAAAGGGTTTTGGCTCATCTGAGTGAGTGCCCTTGTGTACATTTGTGACACTTGGATGCTTCCTTGCTCTCTGGACTCACGTGAAGCCTTCAGAGCAGGTGATGATGGTGGGACTCCTTGGTCTGGAGGCAGCGAAGTGGACACTGGCTGCTGGACTGTGATTGTGGCAGGTGACCACTAGGAGGTGTGCTTGCCTCTTCTTAGCTTTCACCACCCAGGTGTCCTGCTGCAGAGGCCTGCAGCGGCCCATGGGGGGGGGGAGGGAGGGGGGGGGTCAGCTGGGCACCCAGCTGTCAGCACCGTGGCCTTCCTCTAACCACACAGGCTGCTGCAGCCTCCCGCCACCTGGGGAAGCCTACCACGCGAAGGCTGGGATTGTGATATCTTCCTGTACATGGGGAAGAATAAAGACATTACCGGGGTCTTAAGGATCCTGGGTTAGGGGAGAAACAAGCCCCAGTGTTCTCTGTCTGATCTTGTCTCCACCCCTCCTTTCCCACCTGTGAAGTCCTCAGCTTGTCCCTTCCCATCCAGGGGAGCTCAGCCCCCGGGGCCCTCCACCACCTCCCCATCTCCCATCTCTGCTCCTGGCTTTGTGCTGGTGACATTCATTTGTTGTTTGAAGAGCAAAAGATCCCTGAGACCCAGGGCCTGTTCCTTTCCTTTGGTGGCTCCGAATCCGATAGAGACAATATTTGGGTGTTTGGGGGCTGGAGGGCTGGAGGGAGGCAGGATGAAGAAACCATAGCAGTGGCTGAGCTGCGGCCATGTTGTGGGGACTGTGCGTGTGACCAAGTGTGGTTCTTTCAGGCTGGAGAGGAACAATCTCACGGCTTGGCAGGCAGCTGGGGAGCCTTGCTTTAAGAAATGAGTAAGGCCAATTGGTGGGAAGCTGCCCTGAGCTATGTGTGCAAGTTCTCTGTGAGTCTAAAATTAAAAAAAAAAAAAAAGAAAGAAAGTTTGAACCAGAGAAACAGTGACCTGGAACCTTGGAACAACTCACCTGGTGATCCCACACCTGGTGCTTCCTCCTCCCACCCTGGCTCACCTGCCTCTTCCGCGTGCTGTGCGAGGCTTTCCTGAGCCCACACCCAGAGGGGCCCCTCCCCCGCTGCCTCCTCTGCTACCCCTCTGCCTCCAGCTTTTCGGACCCTTGTGCCCTCTGGCCAGCTAACTAGCCACACCTGTACTGGTTCCCCTTCTCTCCCCTTTTCTGGAGGAAGAGGGGCTTTCTGGGTTTCCAATGCCGAGCTTTCCCTGCCAGCCAGGCACCTCCCTCTCTCTGGGTTCCCGTCTGGGTCTTGGGCCTACTGGTTACCCCTTTGTTGTCTTCTTGTGCCAGCCACTTCAAATACCCCCATCAGGAGGAAAAGCAGTAACAGAAGCCTGCACTGGACCTGCACCCTGTGGCTGAGACCCAGCGGACATGGGGTCTCTGCCAGCTGCCACCCTCTTCACCTGGTCCCTTTCACACCAGCTTCGGCCCCACCTTCCACGCGGACCACTGCGGACTCTCGGTCTTCAACTGCCATCAGTCTTCACCTGCTGGTCGCCGGGTGTGTCACCTCAGCAGCCTGGTCCTGGCCCTGAGCTTGGGCCCTGGACATTCTTTCTCCAACTATCTGACGAGGGCCAGTTTCTGGGCCCCTTGTGCTTGTTTCTTCTCTGTAAAATGGGATAATGACCCTACTTACCTCACAGGGGCTTTGTGAAGATTATGTGAAATTATGTACGTAAACATCCCAGAACAATGCCTGGCACAAAGGAAAACTTCATAGGTTAGCTATTAGTAGCCAACCTCCATGGCCTCACCTCATACGCACCCCCACCCTGGATTCTGGCTCAGGTTCTGCTTGAAGGCCGGGCCTCCACCTTCCGCTCTCTGTGCCGGGGTGATGCAAGCCACAATACGAACTCAAATGGGTTTTAGCAGGAAAGGGCATTGATTGACTTGGATAATTGGGTAATCTGTATGGTCAAATGGGATTTGAGCTGAGCAGGACCCCATTTCTCTCCTGCTCTCCACCTCCCAGGCCTCAGGGCCAGGACCAGGCTGCTGAGGTGACACACCCAGCGACCAGCAGTGAAGACTGATGGCAGTTGAAGACCGAGAGTCCGCAGAAGACCGAGAGTCTCTCCTACTCTCCACCTCCCAGGCCACCTCCCAGGCACGGACGGCCCTCACAGGACCAAGATGGCGCCAGTACTTCCTGAGACGCCCTCTTCATGGGGGAGTTCTAGCACACACATCTTTTCCTTGAAAATTTTCAATTCGAGGCCAGAAGTGGAGGATTTTTCCCAATTAGTTAATTTATTTCATTACTTCCTTGTTAATTTTTGGGCCACGTTCCATTTCTCCCTTGGGTATAGTCCCCATAGCTCTCCCACCACCATGGAAGTGTGATTCCTCACCACAGCCCCTTGTGCTCTTCCCTCCCTGTGTCTGCCTCACATCTGTGGTCAGCTTATAAGTTTTGTCTTTTTTTTCTTTATATTCCACCGATAGGTGAAATCATCTCATATTTTTCTTTTTCTGTCTGACTTATTTTGCTTTGTATAGTCCCTTCCAGCTCCATTCAGGTTGCTGCAAATGCCCTTTTATCTCGTTTGATCACTGAGTTCTCCATTGTGTATAATACCACATCTTGATCCATCGGGAAGGAGTTTCTCTGAACCACCTACCTTGAGCCCTGTGCCCACCTGTGAGCCAATCTCTCAGGGACACCTTAGGGGGTCCAGGTAATCTGAGCTCACCTTGTGAGGTGGGAGTAGGGGTGAGAGGCAAAGGTGTAACCTCCCAAAGGATGGGGACTGGGATAGGCTGCAGGGAAATTCTGAGCTCTAGTAGGGCCAGTAAGGGAGAAAGCTAACTGCTACAGACGCCATCGCTCCACGAAGACTTCTTTAGTCCTCATTTACGTCATGGGGAAGTCCATAGTTTTTTTGTTTTTTTTTTTTTCTTTTTTGTGCACACAGAACTGGGGTACAGGCCAGAGGCTCAGGGGCAGCGAGAGGCTTCACCAGAGACAGAGGGGAGCAGAAAGCAGGCAGATCAACGAAGTACACTGCTGAGGGGAGCAGCGGGCGGGTCAGGAGAGGTCTGCCACGCCATGTGGTCACCTCCGGGGCAGACGGGGATCGAACTCATGCTGAAGTGGTGTTGGCTTCTCAATGCTGTGCTTTAACCAGCTGCGCCACCAGGGAGGGCCAGAAGTCCATAGTTTTTATACTCCTGTTGCTTTGCTATGGTTTTCCCTGGACTGCCCTGGCCTCCTCTTCTTTCCAGGGAAGCATAAGTTTCCGAGGGCAAGAATAGGGCGACTTGGTTTCTATTGCATCTCCGGGCTCTTAACGGGGCCCTGACACCTAAAGTAGAAAAACGCAAATCTCGAAACTTTATCCTCCCTGGGCTTCTAGCACTCTGCTCTCTCCTGTTCCTCTACTTCCTGGCACACTCCTTTTCTGTCTCTTTTCTTGCTCCTCCTGAACTCAGCCTTTCCACAAAGGAAGCCTGGGGAAGCTACCCTGGCTGACCCTGGGGCTTCAGGACAGCTTCTTGAAAAGCTCCAAAGCTAATTCTCAGCCCTGATCTCTGTTCCGTATTTCAGAGATGGAGTCGGAGCTGCAGGACCTGGTCCAGAAACGGTAAATTTCTGTAGAGATGCTCCTCATACCATGTGAGATTGAACTCAGTTAAGATTGCCCTAACCCTATCCCTTCTGACGTTCCTGTTTGCTCTGAAAGGCAACACTGCAGGATTACAAGGAGCTGAGGCCGGTGGACCTTTGGTAACAGGTAGAAGCTTCTGGGTTTATGATCTCTCTGTTCTCATCGCCGGTGACACAAACAGGGTTGGGAGGAGGTGCCTGGACAGAGAAGAGATGAGTCCCTCATTCGTGCCTGCTCAGCAGCCCTGTCCTGTTTCCTGCGCCCCTCCACGCCCCACTTCCCGGGTGTTCCCCTAAGCCTAGGAGCTCTGAAGCTTGTCTCCAGCTATGAGTATTTCCCAAGACTCCAGTCAAGGTCATGGGCTAATCTGTGGTCCAAAACCCACTTGAAGAAAGTCTAGGGAGCTGAAGGGAGATTGACGCACTCAGGTACCGCAAA